CCCTACTCTTAGTCGAATAGTGGTATGGGTTCTTTAACGTCCCTCTGATGCTAATGAGAAGTGTAGAGAGACGGGACCTCCGATTTAACGTCGTTATCCGAGAGGACGTGAAGATCTTACCATTTGCAGATGGAGAAACAAAGGCAGCAACTTCTACTCAATTATTTTAAGACCCTGAGTATTGGTCCGGCCAGGGTTTGAACCCACGACCTCCCGCATTGTAGTCCGATGCTCAACCAACTGAGCCAATCRGTTTGCGGTTTTACTGATTTCTTKATATTTTTGACATTAACGCAATTCTTTCCAGGAATCCACTTTTTGATCAAAGTTTTTATGACCAATAAGAGGGTTCACATCAGCAACAATTGAGGGTCCGCTCACTCTTGCCATTTTTGCAGCGCAATGGTTGCGCGACAATCTCCACTTCTCACTTTACTCTAACTATCGCATAACAGATAGCTTTAACTTTATGACCACAACAGATTTTAACATATAGTGGTCCCTTTTCTACAATTTGGATTTGACTTCACCCAAATGACTTGAACACTTCTATTCACAATTGTGTTATGTGCAGTGAAACATGTTCATGAAGCGCGCGAACATGAAGGACACACCGGAAGAGAATATATGTAAACATGTTTGTCGTATTCATTTACATTTATTAAGGCATGATATTAAATGAAKGTTTATGAATCGTCAAGAAGTGTAATTGCACCTCAACAAATTCTTAGAAAACGCCACGAAGTATGTGTTAAACCTAATTTTGTGTTGAACAAATGTTTTGATATATTAATCTTATGCGAGTTGTAGTTGAACATCGAAGCKCTTGACGTATTCGCAAATCCTATTGACATTTTAAAGTATCGACTTAACAGCTAGCCAGAGTTCACGCTCCAAGAGTGCATAGTTTGCTATGTAATATGTCCTTGCAATTATATTGTCACAAACATATAAAACAAAATGGCATTTACGGAAAGAATATTGTTGTTTAGTTTGATTATCATTGTTGTCGAGAACAGTTRAAATAGCAAATCTGAATGTTTCTTTACTCAATGTGCGTATGATATTGACATGTTTTCACTAGTGATCGAATAAGAAATATGAAGGAACACCTTGCATACAGTGCACGAACCATTAAATCAAACTTGTTAGTATTGAAAGTGTCATTGTTTAGTCGGTAATCTGTTTCTACATTTCACTTTATAAACTTTTAAGTGCTTTGCTTGTCCACCAAGTGAATACCATGTTTTATGTTGAAGGTTGTAGTAATACCAGGCCTTTGTTTTATCGTGCATTTTGTGTGACAACCAATTCATTTGAATCAAACGCTTGTGTGCCTTGTCTGGGGATGACCAGTAAAATGAGGACAGAATCCAATCGTGAATGACATCTAAAGGACATCCATTGCCATAAAGGAACAAGAAGAGCTYGAACATTGCCACGTATGAAACAGGTTTCATCCAAAACAATCTTTTCATGCGTGATGGCCATTCGGACATCGGCGAGAAGAGATATCCATCAATTAAATGGAAGAGTTGTTGACGTTCTATATGAAGTTCAAACTTGGATATGGCGTTGATCTTCTGCAAAGAGTCCTTAAGGTCTTCCATGTTGATATCTTTATTCTATTTTGTATAWAACAGAGTTTAGTGGTGTTCAATAGCGTTTGAAATGAAACATCATATAAAGAGTGGACTTTATATTACAGCCTTCATAAATTCCGTGTCGTAATCAAAAGAGGATTTTATTGTTTCGCCAAGATCAACAAAGTTTTGGACGAACGTTTCAGATATTTCATCACAATTGTGTTTTTGCTTGACCCATGCTGAACAAAAGGATAATGATATACACCTGATTATTTCTCGAATTGCAAGCATGTCCTTATGTATGTTCTCGTACTTGTTCTTATTTGATGTTGACAGATTTGAAACGCCTAAATGCAAGTGACGAACGTGCCTCTTGGAATAAATGGAAATTTCCGCCGGAAAGGTGGATGAGATTTAAAGGACCCGTCCTGACAAAAAATGGTATTTTTTGGAACAAGTAKTTCAAAKATATTTAAATACATATTGCATCTTTTGAAGCTTGGTTTTTCAGTTTTTGATAGTTTTCTTCAGGGAGAAAGATGTATTTTTCAGACCTCCGCTATGAACGTCTTGAATTACAGTCACGTGATGGTGTTACGTCACACGTGTGTTAGGATGTAGTAACCATGTCGAGCGAYGAGGATTCTAGCAGGGTAAGTTCGAATAATAGTAGCGATAATAGTAGTTTTGATGGTGAAGGGTACTGGTAGAGGAAGGAGAGGRCCATGCTWTAATGCCATGGCGTTTTGAGCCCGCTGGCCGCAGACGAGAAGCTCGAGAAGGCGTCGAAGACGAGGATTGCGAAACAGCAACTGGTACGTTCAAATGAGCTTTCCTTTTTTATTTATAATGGATCGACCTGTGGAGTGTGTATGCTGCCAGGAGATTGCTCAGGTCAAATCCAAACTTCGCGAAGCAGCCGAAGTAGAAGGATTGCCTGAGCCAATCTGCATCACGCAGCATCCTGGTTTCCTAGTGGTTTGTATTGATCGCTGGGTTCTCCAAACTGCCTGGTATCAATATCGGCAGTATTATGGGGGCGATGCTGATCAAAGTCCACAACACAAGCGCAACAGGCACATTGCCTATCGTCAGCTAGTTCGATGGTGTTGGGGGATTTTGGGTAAKGAGATAAGGGTGACTTTGCCATCGTGTGCAGTAATGTGCATTCGGGCCCATTTTCCTCCCCCAGGTTTGGAAGAAGATTTTATATTTACTGGGTTTAGATACGCAGATGAATAATTTATTAGAGTTGATCTTTATCGCCATAGTGACCTTTATTTACAGAGCTAAGGAGGACTTTGAATTATCCGTATTGTTTGGATTGTACATGTATAAATAAGACTATTTCAATCACTATTATCTATATTATAGCTGATTATAAAATGTCCCCTGTAAATAAAGGCCACTTTCTTGCCTGCAATATATTATAATATTGAGAAGTAAAGAGGCAAAGACAATGGCAAAATCCATTTACAGTGTCATGCATATTTTTTTGAAGGAAGAATATCTAACTTTAAGTCAAACTCTCAGGAGTATAAAATGGGTATTCTTATCCCAGGAATTTCTGCGATTAAGTTTGCTGTTGTCTTTTGCTCTTTAACTGTGATTGACTGCATATTTGCAGAGTGTTTATAGAATAAATTTCGTTCAATTCATTTGGATAAATTCTGTCACTGGCATATGCCTGCATTTCTTATCAAATTTAGACTTTCTGAAGTATTATAGCAAACTCATGGGTTACGTGAAGTTTCAAAATTTAATTTTCGTAAGACACTTTGATTGCCTAGAAAACTTGAATTAGCATTAATTGGCAAGAAAATAATGAAATGTTAAATTGACATATTTCAGTGAGCAGAATTTTTGCAAATGTCTATTCTAATGAATTATTTGTCTGCAATAATATCTKGAAACATATTCCTGGATAGCTTCTTCCTTGTCAGGCCTGTTTTCGATGTTTGCTGTCAATGGTGTGGGAGTATTCTCTTGTAAATTCTTCATGTACAGACGTAATTGCTTTGGACTTCTTTTGTATTCCTCGAAWAGGTAGTCCATTGTCYTCTTGCAGTATTCTTTTTAAAAKCATAAAATACACAAATTWTTGAATGACTGTTTTTTGTCAGATATTTAGAATTAGAAATAGTTAGAAGGTAGATGATATTCCATTCATTTACCATAGGTTGGTTTTGTCTTCTTGGGTTTGATTGTGTGTTTCCCCTTTTTTGCCTTGGGGAACTTAAGGGAATAGCAAAGCCTCCCATCTTTGTTAACAGCTTGCATCCTATCAGCTGATTCATTGTAGTGCAAAGCTGACAAACATAGTCTTAAAAAAAGAAAGTATATAGGTAAAATTAATGAATGAAAAAGAGTAATAACTCATACTGCACATTTATTTGTTCACGGTTTTACTAAATTCAAGTGAAAATGATTATCTAGTTAATCTAGTTAATCTAGGTGCAATTACAAATGGTGTGATTCCTGAATTCAGTCATGCACAAGTGCATCTACCTGTAAATCCTTCTTTTCTCATATGCAAATTATCAGGTAATAAGTTTCTGTAAATTAGTTATACTCGTTTACCTTGTTTGCATACCCCAGTATGAAAAAGCTGTATGTTTTGGAACAAACTGTATGTCAAGACTATGTTTAGCTTCCAATGTTGATGTCTGATAAACAGGCGATAGCTTGCTTACRTCGTTAAGGACCTGTTTTTTTAGAAGTAGTTCCTCCAATTTAACTGCAGCAGTTGAACCTATATAYGTAATAGTATACTTATATTTAAACAACTTATGTTGACATTAATTYATGTTTAAATATTGCAATATGTGGTATTGATTCTGTATTAATTATGACATAAGGGAACTCATATAATAATCAGTACCTTTCTCTAACCATAACCTATCCCTGCTCTCTCCCTCAAGCCTGCCATGACCACATTTGGGGTATAAAGCATTACCACCACTGTGTACATCTTGTATATGTAATGGCAGCATCTCCCATTTGGCTTTGATAAGATCGCCATTACCATCAGGTGTTGAAGCAGCACACCAGTACATGTGGTTGCAAATAGATTGCTTCCATTCTCCAACATCACTGCATTCCTTTTTTTTGGCAATCTTATCAATTTTTTTGCCCAGACCTGTAGCACAAAATACATGAATTTATTGGTATAATGCTCATTAATCAGATCTACTAAGAGATAGTTTAGTGTAATTTCTCTGTAATAATAATAAGTTACATTTATCCTAATATATACAATATGAAAAGAGATATTGAAAAACAAAGGCTATCTTGACATAAAGTTTTTGTGTGTATTAAACTGATAGTCAACATGTAATTGATACCTTTTTAATCCTTCTACTTCCATCCAGGCACTGTTCTTTACTTCATTGCTCTGAATTTTGGATTTGAAATATTTTATGAAAATGGAAAATACATAAATAGATAACGAAAGAATCTATCTTAAACATATAGGGAGCAGAATTTTTGTGTTTTGGTGTATATTGAAGAAGTATAGAATATTATGAATAGAAGAAATTAATAAAAAAATGATTGTCTCTTGATGTATACAATCAATTGTTATGTACTTTTTGTCCATATGTTAACACGTGTGATAGTCGATAACCTTTCCGCACATGAGAAATGACTTTAAGTAAGTTGATATGACTGACCAACCTGGACAAGTTGAAAATCAAGTACACGGTTTGTCTGCTGCTCAATAACAGTGTACRATCCAAATTTGGCACTGTGTCCTGGCGAGTCGCACCTTCCATCTCCAGAAAGGRTAAGGGYGTTCCCCTCAYTTCTCATCTTTTCCAATAGTTCCCCTTGTTCTTCCTTCCAGCGCTTGATTATGGTAGGGTTAACATAATTTGTTGTGTGACGATAAAATGACAATCGTGACACACAGGCCACATTTATGAACATTCCATAACATTCCATAACATTCATGTCATTCAACAACACCGAGAAAGGAATGGATTAACAAACCTACGCCACAACAGAGAAGGGTTGAGAAGTCACAGATGATGTTGTGATGAAGGACAGAAAAGGATATAGGCTGCATTAAAGACATCACACGATGTGATACCGAAAAATCAATTTATTGGATGTGATATCATAACAAATCATACATCTTAATGTGATGGTGATAGGCCAATTATTACATCCATATGTTACATGTTATAGTTGTATAGACAAATATCGTAATCTTTCATGCAATGAGTTCCTTTCATTATTCCTTGAAATACACATATCGTGAAGCTTGTGTTGCTCAGTGGAACTGTTCGTCGTCATTGTTCAAATCTTTCATCGATTGTCCATTATTTCAGATTGGAATTTTTTGAATTGTCCATTGAGAGAATACCACCCTTGTTTTTCCATGTCATAGTAATACCACCTATCGGCATGTTTGTGAATTGCATTCCCCAGCCATTGAAGTTGATATAAACAGTTCTTTACCTTTTGTGGAGATGCCCAGTAGAAAGACGAGACGATCCAATCGTGAATGGTCGCAGGTGGACATCCATTCCCATAGAGAAACAAGAATACCTGAAATACTYCTCTATCGCTCATAGGTTTTTCCCAAAACAGTCGCTTAATTTTTGATGGCCATGAACACAAGGGTCGAAAGATTTCACCATCCATGWGGTGGAAAAGAGATTCTCGTTTAACTTGAATCTCAGTTGTGGACATTTCTGAAATCGTGGACAATTTTKGTTGCAGTTCTAAGATGTCCATGGTTTTCAAGTTCCGTTATTCTATCAAGAGAGGTATGCTTGTTTCCAATGTTCATTGATGTTATGAGAAGGTCATAAATGTCGGTGTATACAAGGAATGTCATGCTTTCTAGCATGAAATCCAAGAATGAGTTGGAAACAAGAACAATGTCATCAGAAGTACTGATAAGGTGTTAGCAGMCGCACATGACCTACATAGGAAGGAAGAGCTGACAATGATGCACCAAAATAAAGGATCAATTGTTGCACAACTCTCACGCAATTCCTGAAAACAATTTTCATGATCTTCCTATAACTTTTATAAGAATAAAGAAAAAATCCTTGAAAGGGACCATTTGTGGAACACTTCATGGGGCTTATATTGACTATCATATGGGTCATGAAAACATTGCCCGAAAACTTGATAGGTGAACTGAATAATCTTAAGATGAAAAATAACAGACAAATTAGGCAATTGGATTGTCCTCTAGTCCATTTGATATCGCRTGTGCTTTTSAGATAGCGTGGTCCATAGKTGTTGTTGCATGTTATTATAGTGATTTTTMARTAGATGTTTGTTGACATGGCATTTCAGGGGTTTGTGTGTTTCCGCTTGTTCGTGGTGAGTGTGCAAATGAAGGGGAAGTTTCCCCTCTGTTGTTCAATGCGACAGCTAAGATTGYGCACTGGGGAGCCACCTTTCGTTGTTGTGTGAWACACGTTTCATTGAATGTCATCCAAGGAGGATAATACAGTTCGAAAAATGGTGCAACGTTAAAGACCTCACAATGTTATAGCGAAAAAGTATTGAAAGCAACTGTCCCACTTTAAGAATTCCAATATGTGTCGAGTGCGGATGCACGTGAATCCTTCCATGTTGCGTGAAGTGCCTCGGATTGATCTTCCTCAGGATGACCCGCGGGAGATCGATTATAAATTTGGCCTAATTGGTCCTGATGTTAACCCTATGAGAGGTGACAATCACACATCCCGAAACGATGATATGTGAACAATGTAGAACAGAAGAGCAACTTTATAGATCAACTGTATGATATTCAGGTGAAAAATAAATGAAATATGAGGCAATTTGATTGTCGTCTTGTATTTGATATCGAGTGTGGTTTTGAGATAGCGTGGTCCATAGTTGTAGTTGCACAATATTATAGACAAAAATTATTGAAACCAACTTTTCGACTTTACGAATTCCAATGTGTCGAAACACGCATCCACACGAATGCATTATTGAGTACTGCGGTTTACCCTGTGCCGTCAAGTGCCTCGGATTGACCATCCTCAGGATAATACGTGGGACATCGATTATAAATTCGGCAGAATTGGTCCTGATGTGAATCGTATGATAGGTGAAAAACATACATCCCGAAATGATGACATGTGTTCAATATTGAATAGAAGAGTTATAGAAGGACTTGGGGAATAGTTTTGAACCACTGCTTAAAATCCTACGCCTTGTAGAAGGAAAAACGAATGCTACAAGTCACGCGCGACAAATCGCATCAGGTAAAT